AATTACCACTATCACCCTCATCTACCAAATAAACTAGTCTTTACGATTTATTGCTAATACATGCTTAATGCTACGAGGCCACTCCCTGTATGCTCGGCCATCATCGCGATGTTAGCCTCTACCAACAATGCTCGCCGACAAAATATATCTGTGCTCTTCGACCAGCTAAGAAACTGCCGTGCTTCTACAACGCTCAGAACACTATAATAACCGCGTAAAAGGCCACCGTAATGATTTGTATCAGTATCTGGACGGCAACAGAGTCTGCACATCAGACCGATGTTCCTGAATGCCCTGAGACTGCCAATCTAGTGGGACTCCTCAACGTCACCATTTCGACTGCAGACGTAATATTTCAATGCAAAACATAGTAGCTGACGAAAGCCGAAGAGCGAACACCGACTGGAACGAGGACAGTCCAATGTCAGCCGCGAAATGAATTTTGCCATCGAAAAACACATGCGTCCGATATCACTGTACTCATAACAGCATAAAGACAAATCCAGCAGGCAAAAACACATTAAAATAACCGGTACACGCCACAGAAAACAATCAAAGAGATAAGACTGATGAAAGCTACACAACACAGGGGCCTAATCCAAAAAATAAAAACAATTATCTGGTTTAGTTTCGCAGTGTGACTGCACTACAACACATCGAGCTTAAACACATCGGCAGTCTCAGCGTCCACAGTGAACCTCTTCTATCTACAAGACAGTTCAAACCTAACATTTCAGTACCAAACTGTTATCGCTAACAAAACTGATAGTGACTGGCCATTCTAAGAATTGCGAAGCAACCGAGTTCAGTCTTGTTGCCATGCATGGCTCATTGTTTAGGTTTTGATCCCTAAAAAAAGAACGGGAGAATTTCCCCTGTAAAAATGTATTATAAACTCAGTTAAACAGCCTCTCAAATAAATTAGTAAAGGAAAAACTGAGTGGGTTAAACAAATCTCGGTTTGATAAACGCAATATTAACAGATGAATTTCAGCTAAATAGTGAGATGTAACTGATTAAGCAGAGGCAATAAATTCGCAAAAATGTAAAATAAGCAGAATAACAAAGTACATACAAACACTATTTTAAAAAACTAGTAAAATGTTTAAGCCAAAATTGCTTCTTCCTCTCATTTCATGAGAAGCACGAGCACTCGAAAACAGCTCAGGTATTTACGCAGGGCGAGCAGCAATCACTAGCTGTACGACTATAAGCTTCCTTTGCCGGTACTTTCGAAAGCAAGCTAATAATGACTGGACTCACCAGCATGCGCTAGCATCAAATTGTTTCTAAACGATTTAATACGAAAATGAATCCTTCAGATTGTTCCGGAGGAGAGGACAGATCATACACTGACAAAAGCACCCGCTCAAAACGAAGCGGTGCAACCATACAAACTTTGAAAACCTCGAAGCAGTACAAGCAGCAAACACGGGCAAAGCAGAAATGATGAACTTTACTAAAGCCCCGTCCCAAAAATTCTCCCATACCGAGCATTCGGGCTATGGCAGCTACGCGTTATATGATATGCACCAGCACTTTTCGTTTATCAAAACTGACAATAAATGTTTGTGACTCTGCATTTCAACAAAAATTTCTAAATATTAAAAATTATCAAAGCGATTTCCGAATGCTTCCAAATTCTTTCCATGGAATAATCAAAGCCACACTTGCTAAGGAGGCCAAAAATTTAATTCCGTTCTCAACTGCATGCGAAACTTTTGAAATACACCAAGAATGAAGGTTATAGCAGCAAGCAGCGTTCGGTTGGAAGGTCTAGCAAAGTTCGACCATTCGTGAAAAAGCATGCTGGGAAGTGAGTTGACGCCCAGCAAATGTTAAATCGTTGAGAAAAGTTAAAGAATTATGAATCCGGTCCCGCCAGCGACGGAATTCAAACGCAGAAATTCAACAACTCAGGCTAAAATGCAGCGGAGCCTCAGTGCGGCTTCGACAGATAGTATCCCCATTAAAAAAATACGAGGTCATTTTCTTGTTTACCGATTCGAATTAAAAATCCCACTACGACAAATATTATGTATGTTTTTCACTTGTTTTTTTTAAGTCGATGAATATGTGTGAAACTGTGTGCACTGCCTCGAAACTCAGCCGGAGCCAGCGACCAACAATGGCATCGAAGTTCTCATTTCAGATAGGCAGATACAGAGAAAATGGAACTAGCCATCAGTCTGACATGCACCGAGGGTTAAGATTTGTTACTAAACGCCCACTTACTCAGTGAATGCGCAGGACTATTCCCAAAATATCTTAATATTAAAATTTTAGAAAGGACCAAGCCAATTACCCTGAATTTCTAGCAAAACTTCAAGAAAAATTAGGAAGAAAAAGACAATGACTAGGGCCGTCAGCATTTTGACAATCAAATGTTGCGGCTCCGTTCAGCAGCAGTCATAAAAACGTTGTCCATTACGCTAATAGCGCGAGGTGAGCCACTATGAAACGATGGCTTATTGAAATAAGTACAAATAGGCTAAGGAAAAACACGCATTCGAAAAGATGGCGCCAAAAAATCGAAAGAGCCTCCGACTTTCCGGCACCATATTTTAAAAAAAAACCTCACTTAACCATCTTCCACCAGTATTCTTTATGCTTCTGGAACTTCTAAAACGTGCATCCATTGGTTTCCAGAATATTAAAG